TAATCTATCTGTGGTACGATCAAGTGGGAACCTATCTGTGGTATGATCTGGTGAGGACCAATCTGTGGTATGATCAAGTGGAAACCTTTCTGTGGTACGATCAAGTGGTAATCTATCTGTGGTACGATCAAGTGGTAATCTATCTGTGGTACGATCAAGTGGGAACCTATCTGTGGTACGATCTGGTGGTAATCTATCTCTATCTCTATCTCTGTCTCTGTCAAGATAGGATTTAGGTGTGGTTTTGTCTCTTGTGATATAAAGAGGTGATCTATCTCTACCTTGGTCAAGAGAAGTTATATTTCTGGTATCATCATGTGGGAACCTATCCCTGCTTCGGTCAAAGTAGAATCTATCTCTGTCACGATCATATGGAGTATTATCTCTGTTCACATCAATAGGTGATCGATCTCTGGAATACTCAAGAGGACGTTTATCTTGACCATGGCCAATCAAAAATCTATCTCTGTCATAATCAGAAGAGGGCAACCTTCTTGCATTGTCGAGATTTCTGGTGTAATCATGTAATGTTCTATCAATGTGAGGTTCATGTGCTGATTTCACTTTATCTCGACCACGATTGAATGACATTGAATATCTCTCAGTCAATAAATCTTTTTCATATTCCTGCGGCAAACAAACTTTCACATCAAGATCATGTGTTGATTCCACAGGAATAGTGTCAGCATGACCAATGGCCTATTACAAGAGAAATGATCAAAAGTTATAATACATGTACAGTCAGATCCTATAACATGTGCTCAGCATTTTGAATTTATGATTAAAAAACTATTACATGCTGATCTAATATTGGATGTGACTCAGATTGGTGAAATATAAATACATTGTTCTGAATTTCAAAAGTGAGCACAATCTTATAATATACATGGACACTGGTGTACTACATGTATGACCTAGTTATTGAATTTTGTAGGCAATACAATCTAAAGACACCTTGTACAAAATAAATAACATATTCCGTTTTTACACTATTGTCATAATTGAGCAGGTGTGTATAGTACAGAAAAGATACTGTAAAATACTTTATGTGTTGAATGTAAAATATAGGAAAAAAAGGTATATTCGCTGGATTTTATTTTATCTAAATTATCTACTGGACCATAATATAGAGGGGAGGGGAAGGTACTAATCAAAAAAGGCTTAGAAAAAGTGAATGCATTGAATATACATGTACTTGAAATATTAAAAATTATGATTAGCCAGTTAAGATGCACATAGTGACAGCAATCAGGTCTATGCATTATGCTAGGGCACATATGTACCAAGTTTCATTAGAATTAAGTAATTAATATGGATATATTTAAACACAAAACTAACTACATTTGTAGGTTGTCTTAAAGTACTGTAAAAGGACTAAAATTCACTGGGTTTAAATTTGACTGATTTAGCATTTCAGGCATATTCACAGGGTTTTAAATTTACTGTTTTATCATTAGATAATAATGTGTTCTATTTTATATATCCACTGGGTTTTAATTTAGCGCATTTTCCAGTCAGCAAAATAAGCTAAATTAAAACCCAGTGAATAATTAACCTCTGTACACTATGCATGTACAATGTACCATAAATTCATTGAAATAAAATGATTAGTACTTGAGATATTGATAGAAAAGATAAAAACTGACTAATTATTATGCAAAGTAAGTAAGTAATAAACAGATATTTTATGGAAAACTTTTTTTTGTCATAAAATTTTGCAGATAATGAAACTTACATCATTTGATGATGGTGTACGGAATTTATGAAAATACAGTCTTCTTTGGTCTGCAACAGATATTTCATCTGTAGATGTACAATGCTGGCGAGTCTTTATCAAATCCATTGATCTTTGGTTATCCATAACGTATTAGATTCAAATGTAACTTGTATTAAGTTTAAGAAGATCTAGAAAAACAACCATAACAGAGGATGAATTGAGCAGCCTCTCGGCTGATACAGCTTCACTGTTAGAAATGCACATTTCAATCATTATTGATATCATTAGAAAATGAACAAATCTGAGAGAGGTCTACCCGAGGTACCTATATGTATACTATCAAAGCAATGGGAAAATATCACTTTTTACCAAAAATATTCTAAAAAATAAGAGATTTGAAGATATCATCTTAAGTTACAAATACACCAAGTATCAAAGCAAAGTCGAATAGGTAAAAAGTTGACACGGACGACGAACAATCACTAATATGATAAGCTCAGTTCAACAAAGTTGACGGTATACCGATACATACTATAAACTCCAGTATGTACATGTAGGCAAAGCACACAAGCATATAGATACACAGACCTACACCAGAAACATACATACAAAAAAACACTGCTTTGAAAAAAATAAAGAGGTTTTCAGTGAAATAAATAGGATATAAAAATATGATTTGTTGATATGATTTGTGTAAATACAATAAAAAACAAACTTCTGCTACATTATGAGTAGATTGATCAATTATTACTTAGCTTTTTTTTCATTGGGATCCATTTGGATCAATATTATATATTTGTCTAAATAAGGTCAAACTGGGTTAGGCATGATATGTAAAATAATTGCACTGCTCGCTTGTCAGGTTTCACATAGCAATATGAGGCCAGGCAATACAAAATACATGATACATGGACCTCCACAAAAAAAAAAAAGTAGAATAATAATTTGCATTTGTACAAGATTTGAACCTTTTTGAACAAGAAAGACTTAATGCACTCTGAAATGTCACCTTGCAAATGCATGGACCACCATAAAATGTAAGTACAATATGTATTTCATTATAATTTGCCCGTGTACAAACAATGAACAAAACTGCATATTCAAATACCAGCGAAAACATCATTTTCATCTCCATTCCCTCTCCATCTCACAAAATTACACGAAACAAAATAATGTACATTTCTAGTAATACTAATGCAAATGAATAAGTTTAGGGAAGAATTGTTTACTCTTAATGTAATGGCTGTTTTTATTATTTGCCCTTTGTTCATTCATACTCAATTCGAAGGGGAAGTCAGATTAACAGCATGATACTCAGTCCCAGATGCAAGAGCTCCACAAAAGCAAAAAAATGCACTTTTTTATAAATTTTCACTTTTTTTAGTATTTTAGTATTCGTTGACCACCAGTTTGATTTCCCAGCAAGGAATTATGGGTAAAATACAACATTACAAAAAATTAAGAAAACAATTTCATCCATAACTTGAGAAATATTGAAAGGAATTAGTTCACATTACCGGTAGTTTTCAGTGTGAATTAGAATGATGCAAAATACAAAACAAGAAAAGATATTGCCAATAAGAAAAAATATATAAAAATGTTTATTTTGGTCATTGAAATGTATGTATGTACCGTATGTATCCGGATAAGCGCCCATGCCTGGGCAAACGCCCACTCCCCCATTTTGATACAATGAAGAATTTGAGGTCATATCTGGGCATACGCCCAGGGAGTCTTTTTTGGTAGTATCGTGTTCTGCCTCGAGGGCAGATGTTCGCCGCTGCTTTATTTTTCAAGTTTTTTCATCAGAATCATAACAGTCAGCTAGTCTACAAAAATGTACATTAAAGCACTCGTTCAGCTTTAGCATCATCGGAAATGAAACTGATGTTGCAATATTATAGCAACCCGTAACTGGGAGAGTGGTTGAAAGCATGTTGTTTTGGCTTAATAAAATATTTGCTAGAAGCTTGCGAATCCATAACTGGGGCCGAAAACTGCCAACTTTTTCATCACAGCTATTGCATTTCTGTCATGGAAATTCTTCTGTCATTGGAGAATTCTTCCTATTTCAAGCCCATCGCGATATACATAGCGAGACATTCCAACCGCAGGAACCTGCTGAATGGTAACTTTCACCATGATTGATGAGCGCCTAGTCTGATAAGAAAGCAATGTTGACTTGACCTATATGATGAAACACTAGTGATGTCATTCGGTAGCCAATCGGTAAAGCGGATGCTTAAAGGTCAAAGATGACTTTATTTCTTAATTATTTCATTATTGTGTAATTGCTACAATATTATTTTGTCATTGTTTCATTATGTTACAATTGTTATTTAGACATTATCTTAACATTCAATTGTCATAAGATTCAGTTATTTTCACATCCAAATGTCTTGACATTCAGTTTGATTGACATGCGATTACCTCAAAGTTCGGTTTGCTTGACTTGCGATTACCTCAACATTCTATTACCTGACCTACATTAGCTGACCTCGCTATACATGTAGTATTCAATCCATAGTCCCGGGCCACCTCCGATAAAGCATTGCTCGAGATGGAAATGCGGCCTTTGTAAAAGTTAGCAAAATATCTAAATAATGGTCGTTTCATCAACATCCAGGGAAATGACTGAGATTGTCAGAGCCTGTCGTGGCGAAATATCAAATACCGCAAATTTGGTTAGAGAATATGACTTCTCCAAATGCAATGACTGAAGTGAGGAAGAATTACATTGTGTATTACACAGTTGATCGTGACACGGCTGACGCGGTCAATAACCAGCCTTTCAGCAGACTTGGTAGTGCCATCACGGTTCTTTTTTTTAGTAAAAGTTGAACCATGTATCATTCTGATTCTCATTCCCCAGCCTCTCTTATCTAAGGTACTTATTGACAGACATATTCCTGTTATGGGAGTGACTTTTTACGTTCACTCCATTATTGTCAAGATGCTGATATATTTGTACGGCTGATTTGTAGTGCGCCATTCATTTCATGGCACTATGAAATCGGATGTCTTTGTTGGTAACAACTGCATTGGCAATGAATTTGTGGGTTTCATTGCCAATAACAATCACATCAGTGTCACGAGAGTTTTTCGCCAGCCATGCCTCGCAACTGCAGTAATCATAATTATGCTGTCTTCGAGGTTTTTGTAAATGTTGACTTCTTCTCGCAAAGCAGTTTCACAGTTTTTGGTTTTGATTCGATCGCTGTGAATGTCTCCTCCTCCCTATATATTACTGGCCAAAGTAGCCTATTCCGACGGTTGACAAAACCCAATTCTGTAGTTGACTAGAAATTTGCTATTTAGTAGATGAGAAGCTGAATTCCATTGAAATGCATGCCCCCGGTTGCAACAGGTTTTCATAATGAGTTGGACTAAATAAACTGGGTTGCAGCTGTAACTGTGAAATTTCGCTTGCTGCACAAGGTTGTCGATAGATGAAACTGTGGTTATAAACATTTGCTGCTCAGTATCACCACACAATGTATTTACGTAATTTCCAGAAATATCAGTATGTGTGGGCCGGATTCATTCGTTTTATCGATCTTTATATACAACCTTTGATGTTTTATAGAATAATTTATGTTTGTGTTTACTCATATCACATTTATTGCAGTATACTTCTTAGAATCATCATTTCAAAACCATGTGTTTTCTTTGCATTTCATTTTATGCATGTAATCCTATGGGAAACTACTAGTAAGCACACTGAGCATTAATTTGGCCAATATTTGTTCGAACATCGGAGTAAACACCGTATTTCTATTGGGCCAATGAGAATGCCTCTGCCCTAAAAAATGTTACCTGACGGGATCTATGGCAATGTTGTAGGTTTTTGTTCACATCTGTAATTCAGATGGGACGGCATGAAATTTTACATCAGGGCGAGATCTGTTCACAACCTCTAGGGGGTCCGGGGCATGCAAAAATTTGAAATCTAGACCCTTTAAAACGCTATTTCCTGCATTTTAGAGGGGGAAATTTTGCTGACACAAAGGGTTTTCGCTTGATTTTGGAGGGGCGATGCCCCCAACATTTTCTTCGTGGGGTGACCGCAGCCACTGCCACTGTGTATGTATGCTATTGAAGAATAAATTGAGATTGAGTTGTAATTTTCACGTGTTCGTTTCAGTTTCACTGCGAAGAAGATAGACCCCCCCCCCCACACATACGCGGGTTATAGATTGGAGTAAATTCATATCGTTTTCTAACGAAACTAAACTAAACAATCCTTTTCAGGGCCACCATACCTTCTCAAAAGAGTGATACCGTACCAAAAATTACATAATTTTATTATATTCACACAGAAGTAATAAACTGTCACACATACTCGCCACGACTGACAAATTATACTTTGTGTGGAGTATAAACAAGGAAAAATTACTGCATGTTTTTTTCCTGTGTCCCTAAATATTTTGAATGAAATAAAAAAACACTGATGCACGCATGTCAATGTTACTGTAGAAGTCTGAGATGTTACGACTTAGGGTCACTTAGGGTTAGTACATATATAGTACTTAAGAGTCAACTCGGGCTCGAAAAGACTAATTGATATACAGTAAAATACTTTATTTTAGGCTGGAATTAATTTTAGCTTTTACTTCCGGGTAAAATGTACGAAGAGCGAGGGGGCGTGATCGGCTGGTATCTAGTGTTAGTATGAGAAATAGACAAGGGATAAAGGCTCCATCCAGCTCACATTTTTACACTGCAAAAACAGACAAAAAAATAAAATCTATAAAAAAATACCAGCTTGAAGAATATTAGTTGCTCTTTCAAATTTCGCAAGTTCATGACATGGTAACCAGTCTTGTGATTGGTTCTTGGCACACTCTGGTCATCATCTAACGATCAAGTCAGATCATCTCTCGCGAATTTCGCTAGGAGCGCGTTGTGTCAACGACAAGTTTTGCGGCATTTGATATTTCGTCACGACAGGCTCTGACGACCTCAGTCAGTTCCCTGGATGTTGATGGAAAGGTCATCATTTAGAAATTCTTGCTAACTTTTACAAAGGCTGCATTGCCATCATGAGCAATGCTTTATCGGAGGCGGCCTGGGATTATGGATTGAATACTCCATGTATAGCGGGGTCAGCTAATGTAGGTCAGATAATCAAATGTTGATGTAAT